TGGAAAAACGGCTCACTCAACTTTCAAGATCCCAATTGATGTGGAATCAGGTGCCGAATGTTGCTTGGAAGGTGATACATTGATTGGTGAACATCTCATTCAAGCTCGACTAATAATTTGGGATGAAATTGTTACGATCCACAAGAATTCGATCGAAGCTGTCAACAAATCCTTGAAAAGGCTATGCAACTCCGAAGAGGATTTTGGTGGGAAAATCGTCATCTTCTCAGGTGACTTTTGTCAAATCCTTCCCGTCGTCAAGTATAATGAATATCCGCCTGCCTACGCATCCTCTATCAAATCATCTAACATCTGGCATTCAGTCAAACGATTCAACCTAACCAAAAATATGCGCCTTGCTAGGGCAATAACACTTTCATCAGACGACAAGAACCTAGCATTTAGTCGAGCATTGCTAATATTGGGCGAAGGAAGAAAGCAAAAATCGGACTTTAGTGTAATCAAGATGAAGTACATCAACATGAAGGCTTGCGGTTCGAAGTGCGAAATGCGTGAGGAGTTGACTAGATTTGTCTATGAAGATTTGGTAACCCAGAGTAGATTGGGCGACGATGAGAAAATTGCCTACCTCAACAAACGATGTATTCTGGCCCCACTGAACCGAGATGTCAAAAAGCTTAATGACGAAATATTGGATCAACTCCCTGGAGATGGATCAGTCCTCAAATCAATTGACACACCGGACCCAGATGGTGTTGGCAGCTTGCCAGAGGAATGTCTCAACAAGCTTAGTTTGAGTGGTTTTCCGGAGCATGAACTAAGAATAAAAGTTGGAATGCCCCTCGTGGTAATAAGAAATATGGATATGAAGAACGGTGTTTGCAATGGTTCCCGCATTGTGGTTGTTACCTTTGGAGTTGGTTTCATCACAGGAAAATTGATGTCGGGCCCATTTGCTGGTAATGAAGTAACCTTGCCTTGGGCAAAACTGCACAATAAGTCAAATAGCCGGTCTGGTCTGTCTTTTTTTCGGTATCAATTCCCTGTTGCACCGGCATATGCAATGTCAGTCAACAAGAGCCAAGTTCAAACTCTCAGCAAAGTAGGGGTCTATCTCGAAACAGATGTGTTCTCACATGGTCAACTCTATGTGGCGGTTTCCAGAGTGTCCGATGTGAACAATCTACTTGTCGTTAGGCCGAAGAATAGAATTGGAGTTGTCAACGTGGTCCACAGGTGCATCTTCAAGGATAAGATGAAAGGTGAGGATTACTTTGAATATTTGAATGTTGACTCATGCTGACATCATTCAAACCTAGGTAAAATCAAACATTAAGGTAAAGGTCATTGTTGAAGATCTCTGGGATTCTCCTTAGTCGTCCTGTAGTTGTTGTCAAAACATGCACCTCGTGAATGTTGATTGTTAGTATATTTAGGGATAATTTTATTTATTCTAACGATGTTATGGCAATTTCTAGGTGATTCTCAAATACAACGGGTCTGCATGAATGAAAACTATATCTGTTGGGACCTTTGCATAATATTTTGATCATTTGAACTGGAAGGGGGAATCATGTAAATTGGATTGGCCACTCGACAGTATTGTTTGATTGGGCAGCAGTTAAGGTTTACTGTACTGTGTGATGGTTGAGTGAAGTGAGTTGGAGATGATGGGGTCATATCACTACGATTGAACACAAATGGATTGCATCAGGGACATAATGTCCTCAAGTAGAGCATAGGTTGATTGTATTTTAAACTTTTGATTTTTGCTTGATGTAGTGCCTTGTGTCTGCCCGGGCTTCTGTTAGGTTAGGCATTATTTGTTGTAAATGTGAAAATTGATTCAGGCTGAGGTTATGGTGGTTAAAGCTGCATGATATATTTGATATCAAGTCAACTGGTGAAGTGCTGACTTAAGCCAATGCCACCATGTAATGTGGGGTGGTGCCTTGGAGGGTGCTTGGGTTGGATTAGAGTTGAGGGCTGGGTAAAGGTCATGTGCACATATTGCCTGACATGAATGGTTGAAATGTCAGTGGCTGCGGGTCACGTTGGGCCGTTGGAGGGCAGCGGCGTAGCCGCCTTGGGCTCTAGTAAGGATAATTAAGTGTGTAAGAATTAATTAAGGAAACACGTCAAAGGCATTATTCAAGATACAGATTTTATTTTGATGCAAAATTATTTTTACCATCATTTTTAACATGTCTCAAAGTGTGGGAAATGAATTTAAAATGTCAAAAAATCATGAAAATTAAGCTCTTAAAAATCAATTGAATTTTAAGGCTGATTACAGTATTCAGAATGAACCGTTGAGTTTTATGGAAATTGAATGTTACCAGTAAATTCTAAACAATTTGAAATGTAGGAAAAAACTTTCAAATTTCAAAAAAGCAGAAAAAATAAGGTAAAAAAATTAATGCAAACAATTGAGTGAAAAAGTGAAGAATTAAATAAAAAAAACGGTGTCAAATGCAGTATACAAGATGTAGTTCTCACTTTGATGCAAAATAATTTTTGCCATAAATTTATACATGTCTGAAAGTGTAGGAAAAAAGTTTAAAATGTGAAAAAGAATTAAAATTGAGCTCTAAAAATTTAAGTGAAAAAATGGGTGTAATTGCATTATTAAAAATGATCCATTCATTTTTATGAAAATTGGATTTCACCATAAATTTCTACACACTTAATAATATAGGAAACAACTTCAAAGTTACACAAAATCTTGAAAAATGAGGTAAAAAACATAAAGCAAACAATTAATGGAAAAAATGAGTGGAAAAAAAAATTAAGAATCAAAAGTCATTTTTATGCAAAATGGACTTTACCATTAAATTCTACACGTTTTTTAGTGTAGGAAACAATTTTAAAAAATTAAAAAAAATTAAAATTAACAGCAAAAAAAAATTAATTAAAAAAGCGGGTTTAAACACGGACACTTTCAACACTAACTCATATCCAGTACTGGATATGGAGTAAAAAAAACTGGATATTCAGTGTTTTTTTAAAAAAAAAATGGTGTGAAGAGGTGAACAAAAAAAAATATAAAAATACCACATCCAGGTTTGTTTTACTGCCCATCCAGTGCGGGATATGAAGTTATGTTTCAAGTGGGAATGCGCGTGTGCTGCGCGCAGCAGAAACCGCGTCAAAACGCGGAAAATGCGGGTTTTTTTATTAAGGCCCATAAAAAAATGTGTGTAAACGCGGAAACCGCGTGCGCTGTGCCGCAGCAAAACCGAGTGTAAACGCGGAAAACCGGTGTTTTGTTAATAAAAAAACACGGTAAATCCGTGTTTACACGCGGTTTCTGCTGCGCGCAACACACGCGGATTCCGCGTTTGCACGCGGTTTTTTATTTAATTTTTTACCACTTATTTTTCGAGTTTTTTTGAATTTTTAAAATGGTTTCCTATGTTTCAAAGCGTCTAGAATTTAATGGTAAAAACCATTTTTCATAAAAATGACTTTTGATTATTATTATTTTTTTCCACTCATTTTTTCAATTAATTGTTTGCATACATGTTTTTACCTTATTTTTTATGCTTTTTTGAAATTTTAAATTTATTTCCTAGGTTTCAGTGTGCGTAGAATTTAATGGTGCAATCCAAATTACATTAAAATCAATGGTTCATTGTTAATACTCAAATTAGACACATTTTTTCACATAAATTTCTACAGCTTAATTTTCATTCTTTTTCAACATTTTGAATTTTTTTCCTACACTTCAAGACATGTATAAAATGATGGTAACAACCATTTTACATAAAAATCAAAGTTTGTTATTGAATATTGAGTTGGACAGGTTTTTTTTTATGTTTTTTAAATTGATTTTTACCAGCTTAATTGTGATCATTTTTTGAAATTTTAAATTTATTTCCTACATTTAAAAATGTGTAGAACTTAATGGTGAATTCCAATTTGCCTGAAAATAAAAGCTTCAATCTTAATACATGAGTGTACCCCGTTTCTTGCGTAATTTTTACTGTATACAAATTTTATTTGAATGCAAAATAAATACAGCCATCAATTTTCAAACCTTTCAAAGTGTAGGAAATGAGCTTGAAATTCCAAAAAATAAGGATAATTGAGCGTGTAAGAATGAATTTGGGAAACACATCAAAAGCATTATTCAGGACATAGTTTTCATTTTGATGAAAATCCATAGTTACCATAATTTTATAAATGTTTGAAAGTGTGGGAAAAGAATTTAACATGTCAAAAAATAATGAAAAATAAGCTGTTAAAAATCAATTGAAAAAAGTGTCTGATTTCAGTATTGAAAATGAACCATTGAGTTTTAAGAAAACTGGATGTTACCATTAAATTTTAGACACTTTTAAATGTAGGAAGCAACTTTAAAACTTCAAAAAAGCATAAAAAATAAGGTACACACATGTACACAAACAATTAGGTGAAAAAGTGATGAATTAATTAAAAAAACGTGTCAAATGCAGCATTCAAGGTATAGTTTTCAACTTGGGGAAAAATGGTTGATACCATAATTTTCTACATGTCTTAAAGTGTAGGAAATAAATTTAAAATGTCAAAAAATGATGAAAATTAAGTGAAGAAATGGGTGTAATTTGAGTATTAAAAGTGAACCGTTGAGTTTTAAAAAAATTGGACTGCGCCATTAAATTCTACGCATATTAAAACCTAGGAAATAAATTTAAAATTTTAAAAAAACATAAAAAATAAGGTACATACATGTATGCAAACAATTAATTGAGAAATGAGTGAAAAAAAAAAAATAATTAATAATCAAAATTCATTTTTATGAAAAATGGTTTTTACCATTAAATTCTACGCCTTTTATAGTGTAGGAAACAACTTTAAAAATTCAAAAAAACTCAAAAAATAACCCATAAAAAATTAATTACGAAACCGCGTGTGCTGCGGCGCATCAAAACCGCGTCAAAACGCGGAAAAACCACGTTTTTTTATTAAGGCCCAAATAAATTAATTAAAAAAGGGGGTTTAAACACGGATTGCGCGTGTGCTGTGCCGCAGCAAAAGCGTGTCAAAACGCAGAAAATGCGGGTTTTTTTATCAAGGCCCAAAATTAATGGCAAAAAAAATTAATTAAAAAAACACGTCCAAACGCGGAAACCGTGTCTGCTGCGCGCAGCAGAAACCGTGTCTAAACACCGAAAACCCACATTTTTTTATCAAGGCCCTAAAAATAACAACACTCAAGTTCATTTATTTATATAAACCTTATACTCAAACACAACAGAGAGCAAAAGAAAAAAAAAACAACATAAACCAACACAAAGAAAGGAAAGTCTAAGGAGTAATAATTAACAACAACACTAAGAAGATCTGAGATATTAAGCCAACTCTTCTTTTTTTGTCTGGCAATGAACACACTTCTATACACGCCCACACACTCTTCCTGGTTCTCTGTGACAAGAGAAAGGGGGGATGGAGATTTGAAGCAGGATTAGGTGGGACAAAGGAGGGTTGCTTGGATTTTAAGATGAGCAGGAAGAGGCAGAGGAGGAAAAAGGCTGGCAAGTGTCAGGGGTGATGAGCCGGTTAGTGTCTGTGCCAATACTTAGACGCGGAGGCTGTTGTTGTACTTGTGGTAGATGGTCCTCTTGCTGCTGTTGGTCTTGGGATTCATACTGCTGGTGCTCATTTTGATTTTGATGTTGTCGTTGTTGTTGTTGCTGCTGCTGTTGGTATTGTTGACAATCATCTAAATGATCGTTAGATCTCCAATCAGTGAGACTAGATCTCCCCACGTTTTCGGTATTCTTCCGACGTTTTTTGGGCCGAATAGCAAAACCTAATGTTATTGAGTTGGAGGAAGGATAAGAGATGAGTATGCATGTGTGAATTTTTTTTGAGTTGCCTGAAGAGGCACATAGATGGCATCTTACCGGGAGAGGCGGCGCCCAAGCCGATACTGAAGCCTCTAACAGGAGTCACTTCGCCTTCGACTAGGAACTGACGAATGAGAGTGTCGAAAGGATGAGAGGATCTGCGAGGATTGATGGGGGAGGAAGAGCCTGAGGAGGACTGGAGGAGCGCGTTTCTGTGGGAGTAAGAGTGGGCAGCGCGGTCGGGAGAGTCGAAGGAATCATCGATCCCCTCCGGATCTTCCGTACAGACTATTGGCTCCTCTCCGTCGCCATCGTCATCCATCCCTCCTATCCTCGATGAGGAAGGCAACAAGGGCGTCACTTCGTCCTCGTCCACAACCGAACCATGACTCGATCGCCCATCCTCCTCCAAACCCTCCTCTTCTTCTGAGGTATGCTTTGAGCTGGTCTTGTTTGTTCCAATGCTGACTACCCATACCCCTCCTAATAGGATGATCGTACCGAGCGAGATGGCAAAGATTTGGAAGGCACTCAAGAGTTTGACTTGGTCGTAGTAAACCAGACTGCTGATGATGCTTGATAGATTGTAGAAACAGAAGGCCAGAGGACAGATCAGGGTGGGATTGACGAGTCTTAGGGCTTTGTTGAGGTACCAGAGTTGAAGGAGGGCTGAGATGAGGAGGACGAGGAGGATGAGCCAGGTTTGGAACTTGTAGAATTCGTTCACCGCTCCGGTCAGACTTCTGATCAGCAGTTCAACCCCCGTCTTTGCGAACAAGAGACAGATCCCTGAGAGTGTGCCTGAGGTAGATCCGTAGGCGATGCCGATGAGCAGTTTCAGTTTGTCGATCTTTTGGCTTGAAAGTAGACCCTGACAGCCCCCAGTCTCATCCTTGTCGATGGACAGCTGGACTGGGCCGGATGAGTAAGTCGAATTGGCACGTTTGAGAGTACGTGAGGGGCGTGAGGGGCGCTGGTGCCGCTTTTTGCTGAAGGGTGGGGTGAGTGGGATATGTGAATCGATGATATCGATAGGTTGGTGAGGAAATGATAGAGAGAGGGGATGATTTTGATGAGTAGGGCTACTGAGTGAGCGTGGTCGATAGGCCGGATAATGATGATGATGATGATGATGAATCTTCTTCTTTCTCAGTGAGCCATGTGAGGTGATAGATTGAGATGGGATTAGATTGAGTGAATGCCTCGAGTGAGGTGGATCATTAGTTTGATTGGGGAGCCTGTTATTGAGGTTGAGGTTTGATGGGTCGGGTGGAGTTGGAGTGGGCGAGATGGTGAGGAGCGAGATCGTTTCGAGTGATTGGTTGAGACGAAACTCGTAGAGATGGGCGAATGAGCAGATGATGGAGAAGGTGAGGATGAGGATGATGATTTCGACCAAGAATGGGGTACGAGAGTAGAGATAGATGAGTTGGTCGAGGTCGTGGCTGGCCGATTGGTCTGGCAGGAGTCCGTAGAGCCCGATGAGTAGTGCGCCTAGTCCGATGAGGATAGTGCCGAAGATCAGATGGAGAGAGAATCGGTCGGCAAGCAGTAGTCTGGCTAGGATGGCATTCCAGAGTAGTGAGATGGCACCGAGTGGGCCGAGGATGATGAGGGGTAGTGTTCCGATTTGGAAGATGGACCCAAGGATGTTGAATGAGAAGTAGATGGTGAAGCCGATGAGCCAGACTGGTCTAGCATAGTCGGGTTTCCTGCTAGAAGGAGGTAGTCGATCGTTTTGTAGATGAGACTTGCGTTGGATGGTGAGTCCGAGTGATTGGATGAATGAGGCTAGTAGTCCGATCGAGATGCCGAGTGCGAGGTTGAAGGGTGGTTGGTGATCTTGGTTGTTCATGTATCGGACTTGGTTTGATTGTTGGTTGTTGATTGTTGATTGTTGGTTGTTAAAGTTGGTTGGTTTGTTTTTTTTTGAGGGGTCAGAATCCAGAATCCAGATTGAGGAAAGCAGGGATACAGGGACATCGGGGATCGGGGATCAAGCCCGAGCATGATCCCGATCCCGAGGAGGATAAGGGTAACAAGACTGAATGGTATTACATAAGATAAGATTATCAAACCCATGTACGTAAACAGAAGAAAATAACCATTAAGAAAACCGAAAGTTGAAAAGAAAAAAAAGAGACTGAAAGAGCACAAGAATCAAATCAAACAGGGAAGCGAAAACAATCAAAAAGAAAGAAAGTCTATGTTCATCAATTAATCCCTACAAAAAAAGAGAGCAAAAAAAAATCAGCATATGTAACTTCACTAAAAAAAAAGACGGAAAGAATGAAAAAAACGAACCGGGAAATATCTTTACTCTTAGTCGTCACAAGAGATCAAACAGAAAAAGACAAAAGTAAGATCAATTAAATCGACCTTGATCTTTAACAAGACACCAAAGCTGAGGGAAATAAGCATGAATGTTCTGAACGACGATGGGAAGCAGCAGTGAAGCTGAAGAAGAAGAGGAAAGCAGTAGATGATCTTCACGTTTACTGAATCGGAGCAAGATAGATAATGTACGTTGATCGATGAATGGCTTGATGATCGACTGAAGTTTCTCTTGATCTTCAGGTTGGTCTAGTAATTGATCATCTGGACTGTCGTTGTTGCTGTTGTTGGATGCGAAGGATGATGTAAGGGAGATGGAAGAGGAAGGGAAGATCAACATCAAAGCATCTTCGATTCGACGTGCACGACAGAGACATTCGATCCACGCGTCGAAGAGGTTCTTATTCAGATAACAAGCCGATGGTTGCTCGATCGTCTCTGGATTGCTGTTCGGATGAGGAGGATGGAGAGCTTGATGGACGAGGAAGGCCCAGCCATCGAGAGCTCTAAGATTCAGTCTTCCGTCACCATAGCGTTCACTTTCGAACCCAGCAAGATCGAACATCGTCGCAAAGCTAGCGTTCGAGATCCTTCTGAAACCCTCGGTCTGTCTTCCGAATTTCGTCTTCCTAACGTGGGAGGAGGGGAAGAAGAATCGGTCCCAGATCGTCCAGGCCTTATCGTAGAGACCGTTGTAGGAGAAGGCCTTGAAGAGCTGATGGATCAGTTGTCCGTCCGGCTCGAGATTGATATCTAGCTTGATCAGCGTATGGATCCGTTCCAACTGTAGTCTCGTCGACAGATTACGTGGGTTCATCCGGACCACCGAGCTGTAGTGATTGAGGAGGACCGCATAGGTCTGTCCATCCACCGGGATCGAGGCCTGTTTCATGTGCTCGAGGATCGCCATGAGTCGGGACATCGGCAAGGCCTGAGCTCTCTCCTCCACCGTCCGGGGACACTCGCACAGAGCCAGATAGTCGCGTAGCAGACGCTCGAAGAAGCGCGGGGTCGGCCGGCCGAGTCGGCTCAGTCGCTCGTAGAACATGAAGGCCTCCTCGCGGTTCTCGGCCAGTGCGAGTAGCCTCCCGAGCAGCTCGACCATCGTAGATTCCTCCATCATCTGTTTCCCCTCTAATGGTTTCGTCAGCTCGCCGTCCAGGGCCAGTCCGGCCAGTGGGGCGCGCTGGGCGCCGATCGCTAGCCAGAGCAAGTTCTCGATGCACCGGAGAAGATCGACCGAGGAGAGCGAACGGGTGATCAGCGCGAGCCCACGGAAGTCGGCGATCACCTGGTCCAGTCGCTCCGGCCGCCGTGCAAGCTCAGCCCTGAATTCGAGGATCGCAACCAGACATCCCTCGAGTACCCTGCCACCGGTCCGGCTCTTCGATAGTTGGTACCATTCCCAGACGTGTTCGAAGGATGGCTGCTTCAGTCTGGAAAGGAGTTTCCCGGCCAGTTGTGTGGACTGATCCCTGAAGATCTCGAGGCTGGTGGCCTGATGGATCCGTTCGGCGAGTGAGTCGATCGACTGGATCGGGGCGTCCGAGGGGAGTGGGAGATGGCTCAGCAGTCGTTCGACTAGGGCGATGGTGCCCTTTTCCCGGCTGAAGTATTGTCTCGAGGATAGTTTGGCGAGGAGTTCGAAGAGGAGATCGGTTTGGTTGAGTTGGGCAAGTGTTTGGATGAGATCCTGTTCGATCCAGTGGTGGAGTCTGTTGTTCAGCTTGACTTGGTTGATGATATATTGGAGTGATTCGTCTCTGATGGGTAGTAATGCACCATGGATCAGGGTCTGGTCTTGGTATTCCTCGATCGGTCTTTCTTCCAATAAGTCCTTCTGTGATTGACTGAGTGAATATTTGACCGACAATCTGATGAGTTGTGCTAGTTGAGTCTCGTCATTCTCTTGATCGTTAATGTTTGAGTAGTTCTCAATCTTTTCTAGTTCGATCCTTCGTTCGGGCTGTTGAGCTTTCAGTTCTTGTATCAGTCTTGAGATGGATTGGTTCTCTGACCTATTCTGATGTTGTTGTTCTTGTTGTTGTTGTTGTTGTTCTTGTTCTGGTTTGATGAGCTGGTATGATGGGATGAATGAGTTCTCTAGTTGAGCTTTGCCGTAGAAAGTTCTCCTGCTTGTGATCTTCGTGGGTATCTTCAATCTCATCTTTCTTGGTTCTTGGTTCTTGGTTCTTGGTTTTTGGTTTTTGGGAGCTGGAAGTTGCTGTTGCTTTTTTTCAGCAAGTTGATGATCGGATACACCATACAACCCGCATACATCCTGCTCGAGTGTCACAGATCAAGATTACTTAAGCAAGCACTTCACAATCCAGAAACACAGGACTGTCACCACTGCTTGGAATGGAAGGCCTGCTCACAATGGCCATGATATAAGTAATGCAATGATACGTGTGGCAGCAAGATTCATGTGTAGATGTCTTTCAGAATAGGGCATGCTGATTTCGGATGTGTAAAAAAAGGATTTCTTGGTTGTCATTCACACTTTTTGTCAGGAAGCATAATTGGCCACACCAGCAAACCCTCAATGCGGATGCCCGTGACATTGAAAGTCAATTGACAAAGGTGCAGATATTCAAACAGTTTTCGATTACCTAAACCTGGTCCAAATACATACAAACTTGTCTGATGTATTTAAATATGCAAAAAAATTCAAATACCCTCCAGGTGGTCCAATTATTCCAAAAAAAATAATAAGTGAAATTCAACAGCACACATTGATGGTAGTTTTTGAAGCCAGTCTATGCACAATCTCAATTCAAAAGGGTTGTGGTGGAACCTGGAAGATAGTCAAGCACTGCTGAGCCAATTGATAGCTTCAGTACACAGATTGGTGATTAGCACCGTACTCAATCACTGATTGATGCACCAGCCTTTTAAAATGATAAATGTAAATCCTTCTGAATGGCCAACAAAAAAACAGGGCTCTGCTCAAGGATGGGAGATTCCCATCTTGAAATTTGATGCACAGGACAAAAATTGAGTAGGGCAGATTCCCTGCTCAACAGCAGGAGGGAATCGCCTTTTTTTGATGCCCAGCACAAGTACAAAACATTGAAGAATACTGGTATACTCCTCAATGATCTGTACATGAAAATTCATGAAGGAGTGAGATAGAGGTTGAATGGAATGTTTACTTACCATTAGTACTTATTATCCCTACTTGATGGCTGGCAGGGATCCCTCCTTGATGGTTGAAATAGGGGGGTTCACAATTGAACTTTAGAGTGATTTTTAAGGTGTTTATGAGCAACATTTTATGAATTTTTTGAGTTTTTCCGATTTATTGGTTTTTGAAAGAAACACCTTAAAAATGGCCTTCAAGTTCAATTGTGAACCCCCCTAATATATCCCTCCTTGATGGCTCACATTGTTGGTGACATCATACCCTTGCTTGTCATTGGCTCAGCAGGGCTTTTCCCATACTCCTCACCAAATTTGGAATGCATTAAGCAGGGTTTGAGGGTGCAACACATGGGATTTAATGTTGGCCAAGTAATCTTTTTGATTGGCCTAGCCCACATGGCCTTTTTTGGGTCAAATTTTGGCGAGTTCCCAGATGAGCTTGAAGCACCATACCTAATCATGAGAGTTGAGAAAATCAGCAGATTGTTTTCTGGAACAAAAACAGCCCTATTAGGCCAGTTCATATCTGAAGTTCAAGGCAACTTTTAGCACATTTTCAGATAGACTTTTATGAATTTTTTCCAATCTCATGAATCATCAGTGTTGGTGCAATTTGATATTTTTGACAAATTTGTAAAATTTTGATATACATAAATGCGGCCATGAAATTTGGCTAAAACTTCAGACATGAAAATATGAACATGTAAAAATCTAGATGGATCACTAAAAACATATCATCATGCTGCAAAGCAATCAATATATCAGCTTCAAGAATCATTCAAAAATATTCCATGTCAATCTTACAAAACTCTCATGGCTAAATTGTGACTTCCAATCCATTACATCAACATGCTTCTATACTTGAACATACCCTATTATCTTCATGCATTAAAGGAAGCTTATATATCAAAATCATAGGTCAAACTTAGAGCACTGCTTCTAGTTGGCAAATTCTTCCAGATTCTACACACATGAATCCTTATCTCAAATTTGAAGAAAGAGTTTCAAGTTTTAGGAAACCTGCAGTTGTTTATCCAAAATCTTCTTCAATAAATTAAGACTGGTAACATGTTTTAAATTAATTAAAAAGTAGGAGAGTGAATACAAGAAGTTAAATGCAAAGTTTGACCTGGATCCATTCAATCTTCAGCTGTGATTGATCACATGTAATCCGGAAACCAAAAAAGTTTATGGGAGACACATAAATTTTTGAATAATGAAACTTATAATTTGTTGATCTCAGAACTTTTTTCTAGCGGCCAGAACCTTGTACCAAGAGGGGGCAGTCATGTTGTAAATAACTTGGAAGCTAGGGTGTGGTAATTGAAAGCTTGCAGATGGCGAGACCGCTCAGCCTCAGGCTCAAATGAGCCCAAATAACCCAGGGTTCATCTATCAAATTTGATCCTCCTTCGAAATTTGTCCACCATCCATGATCACCAGTATGTTTCAACCAATTCTAGGTTTACTTATTATCGTCCATTTCCGAGGGAGCTGCAAGGGCGTTTTCCACTCGCCCAAGGAAGTAATCTCTGATGGAATAGCGGAAATCCCTATGGCGAGGGATATCGCGGAGCAGTTGACGACCCCCGTTCACCTGACCAATCCTAACCCCAGTTTACCTGTTTTTCCAATACCTGAAGTTGAAAGTCAAACAGCAACTCTTGATTTGGCTTCAAGAAGATTCAGTAGATCAACTTCGAAAGATGATAGAAAACGGAAGATTTCATCCGATCCCGCGCCAGACGTTCGGTGGAATCCGCCGCCACAAGAACCCCTGATCTTATCTGTCGATGAACCCAGACCTCACCAAGTAGTTAAACTGATGGGAATATTTTTGGGGCCTCAAGTCGTACCAAGCTCTAGTGAAGGTAACGGGATCGTAGAGCAATCGAGACTTCAAATCACAGCTCCTCTTCCAGTGACCATGAAAGGAATCAATTCTGTAAACCAAGACGTATTGCGGGTTTCGCAAGCACCACTTGGTTCCGCCACTGCCTCAAATCTTCCCGGGATTCCTTGCGCCATCTCAGCGTCGAATCCTATTCGGCTCGGTACTCATGTACTTTCGATTGAAGATTCAAGTGCCAACGCTATAAAGGAAAATTCTCAAGGCAGGAACCAAGGTCCAAGCGATTCTAGCAGATTGACATTTGATAAAGAGCTCTTCACATTCTTTGCACGATCCAAAAAAAGTGAAGTAGACCTTCAGAGCTTTCTGGGATGCTTTGAATTATTGTCGGGAAACGAACTGGTTATGCAAGAAACCGAATTTGCGAGGTTTCACACAGTTTTTAATAACAGGCTCAAAGCTATTATGGAAACTGAAGACGATAGAAAACCCAAATCTAAATTGAAGAAGAAATACCCTTCCAGTGGGGAACGTGACAAGATACTCACAAGAGCAAAATTGATCATTTGGAGTAATAAAGATGTTTGGTATCAGCACTGGCTTAAGAAAGAAGGCTTTAACTTCAAATCCTGCACCCAGAAGATAGAAAGTTATGAGACTTTAAGAATGAGAAAGATTGTCACCACATTTCTCTTCTATGTTGAGATGATTAGTACAATCATACCGAACCTAAAATCAGGAGACACAGTTGGTTCAAAATTGAAAGAAGCCTTTGAACTTTTTGAGCTGCTTATCTCAGTTACTAATCATACACCATCAAATTCCAAAAAAACATTTAAAGAAACAAAGATGCTCAATGAATACAAGGTCTTAATTCGTGGTTCACAATGTTTCTTCTCATGTGTTTGGATTGCATTGGAATTTTGGATGAAAATATACAGAAAGGAGCTGTGCATATCAATACTAGAACATAATAACTCTTTTCAGACTACCAAGACCTTTTTCAATAACGTATTCTATTGCTCCATTGGGAGGCTCAGCTGGAGGATTCAGAATTAACTTCATTATCACAAAATTGGAATGAGTTGACGATGCCTAATTTGAAAAGTGTCATCTGGAAAACTGTGTTGGTTTTGTATTAAACATGGTCCACAATATTCAATGTTCCATTTAGCTCTGACACAGGCCAGCTCCCAAGTATCATATTCATATGATTTGGGAATTATTAATTCTTGATTATGAAATAGTTTGATATTTTTCAAGTATCAATTGAAAATTTTCCCAAAAACAAATTTTGAATGTGAATATGTTCAGTGGTTTCAATTGCTGAATCCCATTTCCATAGAATTCAAGGAGTATAGGAGGTTAATCTGAGTCATACTTGGTTGGTGAGTATTCTCTATAAGTGCAAATTGATTCAACTGTGGACATTGTGCACTGCAGCAAATACTAATTATGCATGTGCCCCACCATTTCTAAGCCCACAAGTATTACTTTAAAGGGAAGTTGGGTACGTCCAATTTTAAAACATGGTCTTCAGATTTTTGATCAAATTTACACAAATGTCAACAATTGAATCAAAACCCCCTTGAAAAATATGTGCATTGGATAAGGCCAATTTGATATTTTGCTGGATGATTGCAGGACTTTTAGGAGTAGCTTCCCAGATCTAAGAAGAATGAGAATCTTTCAAGATGCAATCCTTTATGATCTACTGCTGCAAATTCTCCAGAATGAACTCATGTTGGTTGATCAGGAAGGAGTGCAAACTCATTGAAATGGACGGTTTGGAATACATGGCCAAACTGGCTGTGAAGAATATCAGCTTTCTTGCAGAGTGCAAGATCGTAATACCTGATTGAATTCAACAAATCTTTCCCAAAGGAGCAGGTTATACAACCTGATTAATATTGGAGTAACCATTTGGAGCATGCTCATAGGCTGAACAGCTGAGGCTCAGGAAGGTGAAAATCACGGTTGCGCAAACAATGATACTTAAAGTTTGAAACCTAATGTAATAAGATTTAGTCACTATCTCATTTCACTCGATTGTAACTTTCTCTTTTCTCATTCAAGTTTCATCTCATTGTTATTTGCTCAACTCGTGTCATTTCCATTCACCTCGTCGCGGTCGTTCTAGGTTTGCTCCCCTTTGTTCTCACTCCTCTCGGTGGTCATTTATCTGACCCTCAAGTCGGTTCTCAAAGAACTCGCACGACCTCTCCCGTCCTTCGTCCTTTAATTAAGGAGAGGGGGGGAGAGATTCTTGGCCAGATACTGACTTTCTGCTTTTTTATGATCTTGAGAAAAGCCAAACTCAAGATGGTAGTATTGGAACCTATCAGCCAACTTACAGTTCATTTTCATTTTGTTCAGCATGTCATCTCATAGAGAAAATGCATACTCATCTTTTCTGACCAATCAACTCACAGCCCATTTTGTTGGTGCAAACTGGGGCAGAGAATCAGGTTTGTGGAAGGATGAGGAGAGGAATCCTTCCACGTACTCTGACCCAGGTACTTTAGATGCTGTGACATGTGTGTGAGATGAACAGTGAAAGGTGTGAAGCACAAAAAGAAAAAGAAAAAAGGAGAAACAGAAAAAGAGAAAAAAAAACACTACTCCAACACATTTTTAATGAAAAAAGAACATGTATCATCATTGAGCTGAATCAATTCAAATTTCACTTGTTCTTCAAAACTGACTCCTTGAGTCCTTTTATAACCAACAGTAGTGGAGGACTTCCCGTCGCGGTTTAGAGTGTTTTTTAGACCTCTCTCAGTTCTAAATTAACACTCTAATCACAAATACAACTAGCTCACATGAGGGCCTTTACTACAAGGCTTCTGAAGAAAGATTTTTTTCTGCCAAAAATTAAGACCTTGATGGTGTAAATCAAATTCTGCGAGGGTCGTAAATGCCGACGGGAAGTCATCCATGGAGGACTTCCCGTCGCGGTTTAGAGTGTTTTTTAGACCTCTCTCAGTTCTAAATTAACACTCTAATCACAAATACAACTAGCTCACATGAGGGCCTTTACTACAAGGCTTCTGAAGAAAGATTTTTTTCTGCCAAAAATTAAGACCTTGATGGTGTAAATCAAATTCTGCGAGGGTCATAAATGCCGACGGGAAGTCATCCAGTGTATCTCCACCCCCTTACGAGAAGGGTGAAACCCCAACCGGGCACTGGGCAGTTCATGCAGGTGGTTGCAGCATATATGCGTTCTTTTCTTTCTTTCAAGGGAGGCTAAGGGCCTATAAATTTAGAAATGCTTTACTCCACATCAGAATCGATTTCCCTTGGTCAGGAGCAAATCAAAACATATCCCCAAAAACATTTTCAAGGGAACTTGGGACCAAAGGTTTGACATTGTGTATTCCCATATAGCCTGGCGAACATGTGATACAGACCAATTTACACAGGTGTTTTGAAGCAGGTCATGAGAAGAATTCGAAACGCGTGGAGTCTATGTCTTTTGATTGATTTAGTCGAGAGTCGCCGTCTTGTTTTCTTTGCTCCTTCATGCAGGAGAAGCTTTGATCACCACGTGGGTCATTTCGAGGAGGGCTATGTATGTTCTCTATTCCCAACTGTTACAGAAGATGAGGCTTGTGTTGATCTGGCTACACCTGGTCACAAAAGTTGTGCAGGTTTAGCCTTCTGGAGTAGTCTCACAAACACGGGCTTTGCTGTGTCCGACACAGCGAGTCATTTGCCTGCTGATTAATTGCTTTTCGTCGATCGATCCAACCACTACGACCACCGCCATGCACCAGTTGCCTGCCATTGTTCTCCTCCTCACCATGCTTCCTGCAACTGAGGGCACTATCCATTCGGCCCAAGAGATATCTACATGGACAACTGACAACCCTATTACCAAAGGAACCGATCGGCCAACTTTGCCTTTTCAACTGATCAACGCCCCGGAAGGTTCGAATTTATGGAGTTCTAACGGGCAAGAGTTACGTGATAAGCCTATAGATTTTTTTCCAAATCCTGAGGGCGATGCCGTGATGGCAGTCAGCTCGGTTAGCTTACTCTCATCAGAGGTTCAAGGCAATGGAAATCAGTCAATCGGAAGTTCAAGGGGGCAGAAGCGGTTTCATCCAGAATCCAGCGCGCACAGCGTTTTACAAACGAAGGCAAGGGAAACTCTGAGGATGAATTCAAGACCCAGCAGGATGTACCCGCAAAGATACCAAGAACGGAAAAGCTCGGCGGATCCTGTGGAAACTCGTACCGCACCGCAGGCTTCCATGCACTTTGTCTCCCATGAACCTGCAGCTCACCCGGTAATCAAACTATTAGGAGTTTTTATGGCGCCTCACGTTCAACGCATCTCCTTCGACAGCAATGATCTCGTCAAGATTCCGGAGGCTCACCAGGCGGATTCTTACTCAACAATAAACGCTGGCATGGATTCGACTCCGAGGAACTACGATTTTTTGTTGTTTTCCCAAACAACACTCGATCCGAGTACCTCATCCCCTACGAAGACTTCTCTGAATCTTTCTATCAACAATGAAAGTCCCGCCAGAATACTGGCGAATCAAATTGAAGATACCGTTCATCGGGATTCACAAGATCAGATCAAAATTCAACATGAATTGACCAAAATCAGATTCGATAAGGAGCTTTTCAAAAATCTTGATTATTTTCTAGACATGTTTGATCTCCTTTCGCAAAAAGAAGAATTAGTCATGAGCGAAAGGGAATTCATCGTTTATCATATAGAGTTCAGTGATAGACTCAAGGTTGCAAGAGAAAATTTGGCAAAACAGTCCTTGGAATCTGATAATTCTGAACTAGACCAAAATCTTGGAAAATCGGTTGAAAAATTGTTGAGACATCAAGAGCTTTGGCACATGCATTGGAAAAGACTAACGGATTTTCAGTTTACGTCTTGTATTCAAAAGATTAAACATTTCAAATCTTTGAGGACAAGAAGGTTGGTCACCGTATTTCTATTTTATATAGAGATGATAAATCAAGTTGTCCCAATTCCCAAAACAGAAGCCACATTTGATTCAAACATGAAAGAAGCCTTTGGAGTCATTGAAACACTTCTGATACCAGTTGCTACCCAAGGAGCAACCACCAATGGCCCATTTAAAAAAGAAGGACTTGACATTCAGAGGAAACTGAAAATTTATGGACCCAGGAATTTCTTCTCATGTTTGTGGAGTGCTTTGGAAATTTGGATGAAAACTTGTAGGAAGGGTTTTTTTGATGCAATGCTCATGGAGGGAGTCTCTTTCTTTACTTTTAAAGTTTTTTTCAATCAAATTTTCAGCTACTCAGCTTTAAAGCTCAGCCTAAGACTCAAGAATTAGCTTAAATTCACACTTGAATGACATGTAATGTGTCTACTGATTTTAGTATTTTATTTCAAATATGAAACTTAACTTAAATAGCTTTGTCTTGTTGAGACTTCATGACCTCAATCCATTTTTAATTCAAAAAGCCTTATTTGTCTCACACAATGAAAGAAAATCAATGTGCAATAGTGGTGGGCCTTCTGCACTATTCGAAACAGTGGAATAACAAATTAAAATAAAATAAATCACGTAATTTTATTTTTTCATACCAAGGTACATTGTTTTTCATGATCTCAATTTAAATGTATCAATATTCTATGCTAAAATATATTCAATTTTCATTCTTTGCATTTGTCTCTTTCTCAGTACATGGCACTGGGGAATATTTTAAAGGGAGTAAGAGATTCTCTTCTTTAATATAAATCTTGGCAAGTTTATACCTGTGGGAGGGGATAAGGAAAGTTGGGGTAAAGGAAAACCAGCAATGGGACAGTTACACTAACCATAGGCTGAGGCTGAGCTGAGCTATTTTATAGCAGAATTCTGCTGGAAAATAGCTCAGCTCAGCAGGATTCCACCATGTCTTCACTAACACTACATGCACAGGCCCCAGAAAAAGGCCAGCTAAGCTTTTCTAACGGGCAGGTTAGCGGTTTTGGGCCCTGTAGCAGCATTTAGTAGCTTGTAGGGCAGCATAGCATAGTAAAATGTGATTGCACTAACAATACTGGATTTCTGCAAAAAAAAGTGCAGCTATTCTTACAATTTTTGGGCAAAAAGTGTAGTGTAGCAGCCCACCCTTGGGAACACTACAGAATGTATAGGTATCATTTTTCCTATTGAGGTAAGGTTCTTGTGTAAATGAAGAGGTTGAGTGTTACATTGTAAGTTAACTGGTCATCTGTGTCACAGTGTTGTGAATTATTTTGATTCCATACAGTTTATTTATTCTTTATTCATTCATCATGCATTTCAACTATACATGGCCACAACAATTAACTATTCCTTGGTATTTACATAAGGAGGCCAGGTTTGGAGGCTTGGGCAGTGGTACACTAATGTTTTTGGTGCACTAATGTTTTTTGGTAGAGTTGTTGCATTTTTGCTATCAGCTACCCTGGTCCCTACTCTGATTAATTCCATCCTTTCCAAAGGGCAAAGATTAGATTTTAATCTATTGGTAGTACAAAAGGAGAAAAAACTGAGCCATAACCATGGCTACACAAGAGAGCACTTTCCTTCCATTTACAGCCGCGCGAAACCTGATATACACACTGTAAAGTCAAATTTCCTAGCAATTTTCAAGTCTAAATCAAAATCTCGTAGATATGACGGTCCTCCAAATTCAATGTGGCCTGAAACAAAGTCACTGTTTTTTTGTGGTGTCTGATGTTGAGAATTCAAATTTTATTTCGAACTTTTTATCCACAGATTCTTTTTTCCATAGTGATGCATAGTAAACCAATAAAAAATGAGAGAAATTTTTGGATAAGCCAGCCAAATTTTGAGCCAAGATTATTTTGGTTATATGTCTCTTCCTTCATGTGCAAAATGTTACAGTGATTACCAATATTGAATTCTTTCAAGAACCAAATTTGGGCAGACAGTCATGCTTGCAAAATTCCATCGTGAAGGACGCCGACCTTGATCGGTAACATCAACATCGGTTGACGCGATCGTGAAATGTAGATTGGGGCTTATCTTATCTTGTCTACAAATTCAAGCGCTTCAGCTACGTCAAAGTCTGCTTGCTAAAATAAGTTCTTCTAGTGTCCTTTGCAATGGAAACTAGCTCAAGATACACTTATCATCAAATTGATTTCGAAATGCAGATAATCTAATCAGCAACTGCCCACCCTGGTCCATCTAGTGGAATCCATATGACAAAACTTTTTTCAAATCTTTGTCGGTTTCATGAACTTTCTGAAACAAGTAACCAGAAAGGCGTACAAGTTAAATTGAATTGGATTCCAACATGAGATGAACAACGGATCGAACGATTGCCAGCACCCAGCAGGAGCCTGTGGAGATATTCAATGGCTGAGGTCTCGAAGATCACTCGGTCGGAACTACGCAGGCTCACCATAATGCAGTGTGGTGATTTTGGTAAAGGCGAGTAGAGAATGGAATTCCGACATGCTACAGCCACAACCGCTCTGTTTTTAATCGACATATGATTGCTCAATAGACAGAAGGATTCTCCCACCACATTATATGTACTCTGAACACGGACCTCCATTCAAATCATTCATAGCCAAACTGCCTTCAGATCCTTACCATCCATCCAAGGCGTATAGAGAATATGAAATCAAGCGTGAAGCAAGTTATTGCGGTGTTATTATGGAACATCAACTGTCAAGCGATGGATGAACGTTCGATTAGTCCTCTCCAGGAATATCTTTGGAGGGCAGAACCACCGACGCTAAGAGATATGGCACCTTCGGCTTCTCCATTGCAACTGGACGGCGGACCCAGCCCCATTAATCCCAATGCGTGGAGGTCCAACAGAAAAGCATTGCAAGTGCATCCATCCATCTTGATATCTCCTACTTCGCAACTGGATGGAACAGCGTTCCTTAGTCCCGCCCCCGCTTTAAAGACAGTCCGACTCCCGCAGCATCTCCAGAATAGACCAATCAGAAATTCAAAGGAGGAAAATATACGATCTGGTCCAATGAGTTCTCATTTGAGTCCAAGTCGGCCAATTGAAATAGAAAATTTGACTTCAAGATCAAGCGTAAATATTTCTTCGCAGGATGATCGAACTCGGAGAATCGCAGATTCTACAGCGATGGACGATAATCAGCCATCTAGGACACGAACTAGAAAAGCTATTAAGTTGATGGGGGTTTTCATGGGGCCTGAAGCCCAACCAAGTTCTATTGAAAGTCATGGGATCATTCCTCCAAAAAACTCGATCCCTTTCCCAGTAAGCTCCAATAGCCTGAATACAGCTGATGGATATGACACTTGGTTAAGCGAAGCAAATAGAGACAGGAGTAGCCCATGCCTTCCCGGCATTCCTAATCACTTTGCGATTCGTAATCTCCATCATTTTCCCGTTACTGGTGAAGGCCGGCTTGCTGTGACACTTTCGGGAAACGCCGTGAATTCGAAGACTAGTATCGCTGCTGAAGGGAAGATTCGCGATGAGGAAGACGGATCAAGAACATTGAGGTTTGATGCGGAGGTATTTGCCTGCTCGGCTTCAAGCATCAAAGACAGAGAATACCTGCGAAGCATCTCACAAATGATTGAAATACTTTCATCCGGAAGACTGGTCATGTCGGAGTTTCAGTTTACCCAGCACTTTCAAGGAGTTTTCAATAAAAATCTCAAAAGTGTACTTTCATTAGATATCGATAAAGAAAGAACGTCTGAAAACAGGAGAGAGATGATGATCCGTAGAAGAAAACACCTTGAAGAAGCTGGAAATATCATCTTGAAGAATGATGAGTTTTGGTTTGCACATTGGCTCAAGATCACCAACATATACTTTGGATCTTTAGCTCAAAAGATGGAAGATACCGAATCTCTTGAAATGAGGAACATTCTAATCCTATATTTATTTTATGTTGAGATGATTAGTACAATTGTCTCTAGTGCAAATTTGAAAGAAACGGTTGGAACTCACACTAAAAGAAGCATCATCCTTCTTTGAGTACTTCTTGCTCTTAGAATCCAAAGGCACTCATGAAATCGGAGAGAATGAAATGATGATTCTTGAAAAACTAATAAGATCAAGAGAAGGATTGCCACAAACAGAACAGATGGTTATTTTGGCAGGG